TTAAAGTCATTTTAGTGTTCATTTATTTATAACTTCTATTATGTGATTTCCAGAATATTGGGAGTGATTTACTGTAACTTGTGATATATGAATTTTAACAAATCCTAGTCTTCATGCTGAGAGAGCACTACTTGAGAGAGCAATTGAAAGGATTCAGAAACTGATTCAATCTGAAGAAAGGAAGCTTGAACGGTTTGTTCTTGGTGCCTTGCAGAGAGACTCCCAGCGACTCTCCATTATAGCTTTCCCATGGGCTGGATGTGCAGCACATCCAATGCAACCACAGCTGTGGTAGAGCTTAGTGGAAAAGACTGAAGATACATTGGTGCTTTGATGAAAAGGTCAGTTGGCTGGTCCCTCTCTCAAAAAGCTTATTAAGCTTCAAAAGCCAACTTTGTAACATATTTAAAACTGCTATTTTCGCTTATTTCTGGGATGTAAAAAAATGTATAAAAAGAACTAGTGTATGCTTCTTGAATAAAAGGAGCCCAAGTTGATCAAAATGGTGGTGTGCTTATTTCTGAGCAGCAACCTAGTAAGAACAGTCTGGGTCTTTGGAGAAGGAAAGGAAGCGCAGGCAGTCCCCGAGTTACAAACGAGAGCCATTCCTAAGGGTGTCTTTAAATCGGATTTGTAGGTAAGTCGGAACAGGCACGTATGGTTCTTACTTAGCCTTACTTTAGTGCAAGAAAAGGCTCAGAGCCCTTTTGGTGATTTAAAAGCTATATGTGCAGCAAGTGAAGGTGACTGTGATGAAGAATTTGTCACAGGTAGGGGGTTGGTCCAGTCATTTCAAAGTGAAGGCAAATTTGCGTAGCATTAAAGGGCAAGTAGCAGTTGTCTGAACATTCCTAACCTGGGGACTTATTATAGTGTTTGTGTAAAATGTTTCAGCACCAGAACACATGTGGATGAACATGACTTAGCAGATAGGAACAGTTGCCTTTCACAGTTTTCCTATGGACTGACGTGCTGGCTACAACCAAATCTTAGGCTATTCACTTTTACATGCTTTTGTTTTTATCTCAGATAAATCAAGTATCACTTTACAGCACCATGCTTGAAAAGTGATTGGTCACAATGATTTTCCTTCCTTTATTTATTCTTAAAATTTATATATTTACATTTAATTTACATATTAACACTGTAGGTAAGTGAATATTTTTTCAATGTCAAGGGATGAACTTCGTGTCTGGATCTCTGTAAGTGGTAGTCACCTACAATGGCTAACCTTGTGTGCTGTTTGCTTTCCACTACTTCCTCCCTACATGGCCTTTTGTTCAGAAGAGAAACGAGGTGTGCATTTCATTTCGGCAAACTTATTGTTTTCTCAGTGGTAAAGGGAGCTGAGCTAAAGTCTATAAATTTTATAAGATTAAACTTTTTTTCCAACCTACTAAGTTCATGCCAACCTTGAGAACCCATTCAGTTGCTGTTCTTAGGTGCCTTCAAGTCGGTTCCAACTCACAGCAACCTGTGTACAACAGAAAGAGACACTGCCTGGTCCTGTGTCATCCTCACAGTTGTTGCCACGTTTCAGCCCATCGTCGCAGCCACTGTGTCAGTCCATCTTAGTGAGGGTCTTCCTCCTCTTCGTTGACCTGCTACTTTACCAAGCATACCTCTAGGGACTGGTCCCTCCTGATGACACGTCCAGAGTACATGAGAGCAAGTCTCATCATCCTCATTTCTGTGGTTGTTTCAATTAGTGGGTTAAAACAGCCAGTCTTCACTTCTGAGTAAGAGAGGTTTTAGAGATTAAGAGACATGAAATCTTGAATCATTTCTTTCTCTCTGCATTTTTTCACTCTTCCCAGAATTAGTTGGGGGTTGGGGAGGAGGGTGGTAAGGAAATGTTACCATTCTGGTTGGATTAGATAACTGCAACAGAATATTAATGTAGTTACAGTTAAGAAGACCTCCAAATAACTGGGCCAATTATAAAAAAATTTGGTTCCTGGATTCCTGGGGTCAGGTTTCCTAACTTGTTAGGTCAACTTTGGGACTGGTGCAGAGTTAGGACAATGTGACTTAACTCTGCTTGAGGATAAAATATGTTGATAAATGAGATTGACAAGAGTGAGTTTCTAACAACCTTGCTGTTCTATTTTGCCCCTTCTAGTTGGTTCTTGTATTTTCTGAAAGTCATTTTGAACAAGTAACCTTGCTGTAAAACCCACAGAGTTAAATGAGCAGTTTCAAGTTTTAATTAATATATTGCAATACTGAGGAACTAGCTCTGCTTTCAGTTAAATATAGCATTGAGTCTCAGAGATCTACTTTGCAGATTTTTTTTCTCCCCCTCTGATTGCAAAATGAATGGAAATCTCATGCATTCTGTCGAGATCCTTTTTTTAGTAGTAGACAATGCATCCACTTTGCTATGAGTAACCCCTGAAGCTGGAGATGGGTCCTAAATAAAGGACTATAATTACAACTTTGGTTCTTCATCAAACCCCCTTCCTCACTTACATCAGCAGGTGCAGAATTGAAGATTCAAGTTCAAATCTGACTGCCATTTGAAAAAGGACCTCTCAAATCCATTTTAATTAACTTTGCTATAATTACATGCAAGGAGCTCTGGTAGCGTAGTGCCTAAGGTACTTGACTGCTAACCAGAAGGCTGGTGGTTCAAACCCACCAGCCACTCCTCGGAAGGAAGGTAGGGCAATCTACTTCTGTAGTGATACTGCCTCGGAAACCCAGGGAGGGGTCGCTATGAGTCGGGTCTGACTTGACAGCACATAACAACAAAATTACATGCAAGCAGCCTGTGGTGGTTGTGAAAAAGGTGTGTGTGTGTGTGGGGGGCAAACTAGCATTAAATGTTCAAATGTTTTGTGATGCCTTTGACCATGGGTGTGATGTTTTGGGGATGTCAGCTTATTGGCTGGCTGTTGCAAGGTTTTGTAAGGATTGCCCTGTGAAAGTGGGAATAGTATCTCATGAGGTGTATTAAACAAAAAGGGATTAAATCTGTCCATTCCTAGTCTCACCTTAATATTTTTTTGGATGAATAACTGTTAAAATGTTTTAAGATAACCTGGCCACTAAAAAACAAACCCAAAGCTACTGCCATCAAGTTGATTCCAACTCACAGCAACCCCCATTGGGTTTCCAAGGCAGTATATCTTTACCAAAGTAGATTGCCCCATCTTCCTTTTGTGGAGTAGCTGGTGGGTTTAAACCTTCTGGTTAACAGGCAAATGCCTTAGGCACTGCACCACCAGAGCTCCTTAAGCTGGCCACAATAGGATGAAAAGGTTACTGTAAAACTAATCCACCAATTAAGGACCAAGTTTATGTGGTTCTACTTTGAAGCAAACATGGAACTGAGAAAAAATATTTTCTCCTAGGTGCAAGAGACCAATTAATGTGTATTCAGTGTAGCCTGAAACCTCTCCCAATTGAGGTTTAAGTACCATGTCTTAAAGGAAGAGTGGATTTAGCTTAATTTCATTTAGCCTCCAAACAATTACTAAGAGTATCTGTGATAGTTTTCAGAGTCACTGTTTTCTCTTTAACGATGAGATGGGCTGTCCTTCAGAGCATTTTGTTTGAACAAGGTGATTAAGGATACCTGTATACACTCCCAAACTTTACATAGGATTTAAAGTGCATTTGGTGATAGTTTGGTACTTTTTGTTCTTAAGCTGAGGCTTTTAAGAGGTGGAATGTCAGAATCCAGTGCAATCGTGGTGTCTGAGAGCAAATATCCAGGTTTGTTTATTTCTCTGTCCCCCTTATCACAATTTTATTTCCTTGATTGACCATAATACATAGTCAAGTGTTTGTTTTAATCGTCTCATACTGTTAAAATGTTTCAAAGGTGTTAAAAATTACGACTGAAGAGAAAAAAACAGTCCTCTCCAATGTACTTTCTAACACTCCAGGAACCAATATTTGTCTTTTCTTTTACTGCTTAAGGTGGGGGGAAGGAGTATTCCACCTTGACTACAAAATTTTAAGGTTATTTTTATTTACAAGTTTTGAAAAATGTACATTTTTTACATGGGTTACTTGTACAAAGTTAGAAGAGTGAAAAATGCACAAAAGGTGACAATGGACCATTAGACGAAACATTTACAAGCCTTGTCCCACACTGCTACTTAAAGGTACTGTGTATCTGAGAGTATAAATATTCAAAGAAAGATTGCAGACATTGACTTTAAGATCATCAGAATGCTGAAAGGGAATAAACTAAAGAACTAAAGCATGCAGCATTAACTCAGAATTTGAGTGGAAAACAGTTTGCCAAAGATAATGCTCCCTTAGATTAAATCAAACTTTGAGAACAGATGGGGGGTTGTGAGCTTGTTTATCTAGGACAGCATTGCTCCTTTAAAAAGGTTCAAGGATCCCCAATTTTTCCTGGCTTAGAAACTGACCGTTCCTGTTCCTCGGCTCCCACGCCTCGTTAAAAAACCAAAGGTGAGAAGACTTCAGTATTCTGAACATATCATGAGTAGTCCAGTCAGTATCTCACTAGGAGATGATGTGTCCGTCACCACAATTGTTGCACTCCTTTGGCTGAGTCCTTTAATATTCCCCTTCTTACCAGAGGATCCACTTTAATTAGATCTCAGTTATCATGATTTTTAGACTCCATTGCTCTTTAAAAATGGATGTTTATGTGGATTTGTTTCCCTATTTTCTGTAGGCCATGTTCCAAATACGTGCACTGCTAAATCCATCACAAGCAAAGGACCAGCCAGGATGAAATACTTCAAAACCATTTTGTTAAAAATAACATCCTGGTCATCAACATACTCATAAGCACCACTTGGATAACAATTCACTTGAAAATTTTTGTGTGAAGTACAGTAACAATACTGCCCTATGACCAGACATGAAATACCACAGAAAAGGAATTAAACATTAGTAATTTTTGCAAGTAACCCAAGTACAGTACATTTGTATTCATACAGGGTGTTTTCTGATGTTCAAGGAGAGGGTAGAAAGGGTAGGAAAAGCTTGGCAAGGGAAGATGGAAACAGCACAACAGCGATTTTTCTTTTCATAAAGTAAAGGTGACAAACACATCATATAGATTTTTCTTCGGAGCAGCCTCTTCTTTTGCTGCACCTGGGTCAACAGTCACGCCAGCTCTGTTCTACTATTGCAGAAACACGCTTTTCATACTCCCGCTTGTTCTCCTGGTACAGCTGAGCAGCCTGGCTGTTTGCTGGACTATTGGGATTGGGTTCATCCAAGAGAGACTATGGAGGCAATTTGTTAAATGTTAATTCCTTCATGCAAAAAATAAATTCAGAACACACCTATTTTATAAGGTAGTGATACTAGACTGGCTGCTCTAAGTGCCAGTTGAGTTTGCTCTCTTTATCATGTGAACCTAGAGTTACATTGATCTGCTAGTAGCTAGGCAAATATAGAGCGTATGTTTTCTGGTGGCTTCGGGCCTAACGACTTACCTTTTATCTATTAAACAAATAAGGTTTGGCCAAAAGAAAAAAGGTCTGTTAAGGTAGACTTTTAAAAAAATAATTCTCTTGCTAATATAAACATATCAAGGGCCACAGTCACATTAAAGAAATTCACCTGTATGGATGTTAAAATGGAAGACACATCATAGGTTGGACTCCAACGGTTCTGAAGTATGTCCAGACATATACTACCATCTGCATAGACTAAGAATAGAAGTAGGTACATTAAGCATAACAAAACCATTAAGATTTTCACATTATAGTTATGGCAATTATAGTCAATAATATGTTGCTTTTGAGGTTTAAAGGATCCCTGCTTGTGCAGTGGTTAAGTGCTCAGCTGCTAACTGACAGGTCAGCGGCTGGAATCTGCCAGCAGCTCTGCAGAAGAAAGGTGAGGCAGTCTGCTTCCATAAAGATTCACAGCCCTGGAAACCCTATGGGGCAGCTGTACTCTGTCCTATAGGGTCACTATGAGTCAGAATTGACTTGATGGCAGTGGGTTTTGGTTTGAGGTTTCAAAAGATTCCTAGGCTTCTTCCCACTTACCTTCTTTAAAAAAGATGAGTCATAATTGTTACTAGTGAAATAATCAGAATGATAAGAGAATGTGAAATGTGATCAGTAGAAAACTGGAAGATACGCAGGGCTCCTTCTGAAAAGTCTGCCCTATTGTCCAGGAAATCATACATATTTTCTAACAGGGTCTCTACCCATCCATAGATCTGTGGGAAATTCATTCCACCAAATTTATAAGCTATATCTCCTATCTAAAATAGCATCCAAAAGATAGGTCAGAGTTCACAAAATTTTATTTTAGCATAAAGATAAAAATATCTGATACCCTGGAAAAACTAACTAGAAGGCAAATTTTTCAAGGCTTACTACTAGACAAAAAGCAAAATGATACATTAAAATCACCTGTAGCACTTTTCTAACATGGCATATCCAGCCCTCAACCACAGAATCTGATACTGCAGTATATAGTCTGGAGTGGGGCCAGGGCACCTGGATTTATCAAATGTGCCACGGCGATTTTGATATGCATCCAGAGTTGAAAACTTGGTCTAAATGCTAGTGGAGACAATTACAACACAAGACACCCCAATCTGGTCTACCATTCACAGCAAATCTTGAGAGCACAGTCAGTATAGTTTAATAAGCAAATGATGATAATCCAAACCAGAAGGCTCTTAGACTCCAAGCAAAGAGAAGGTACCTTTACTACTTCAGTTCTGGGACTATAGACTAAGACAGCAGCCAAACAAGTTCAGCTTTCAGGAAACAGCAAGATGCCTAAACACATACTCAGGTACTGCGGACAAATAGTAAATATGGAAAACCTCCATAATAAACATTATAGTTTTTTAAAATACTGCCATTACAAATGATACTTGCCATTTGGATGAAACATCTTAGAGACAAATCTAACTGTAGGTGGTTTATTCGGATATTCTTCAGTGAATTCTATTGTAAGCTTAAATGTTCCTGTAGTTAAGAAAAGAAAGGTTTGAGAAAATGTATGTATCACTTAGTTCAGTAGTACTTTATGTTTTTAATACTGTGCAACTTTTGTAAGGTATTGGAATAGAATAATGCAAAGACGTAGGGTAGAGAGGAAACAGAGATCAGCTAAGTGCTACAGCTCCAGGAATTGCTCTAAAAATGGACAGATATGTTCACCACCACCACCCAAACCAAGGGGATTTTTTTTTTCCCTTTTACCATTATTCTCCTCAAAACTTAGAGACAGCCATCTTAAACTTAAAACTAAGGATAACTTCAGCCACTGTACATTTTGAAATCATCTTAAAATAAAATTGACAATAAAACTGGGGCAAAAATGGGCCCTTCGTCCTTTAGAAGACTGAAAGACCTCAAAGGCCTATTTTAGTCAGCTGCCATCTTCAACTCTCCAGTGGTTTTTAATGGACTAGAAAGAATGAAAGCACAAAGGTTAAAACACCAATGCTAGAAATATAAACCAATAATCAAATTGTTTTAAAAATCTTATGATATCTTATCCCCAGGATAGAAGGATAGAAGAGGAATCATTCTAAGTGTGTCCACTGGTTCCTTTTCATGTAAGAGTGACTCTATAAGGAGAACCTAATTGAATGTAAGAAAAAAAAAAAAAAAACACCTTCCTTGTTGCTCTCAAAAACCCTAAGTGTGATTCACAAGGTATTTCACTATAAAAAATCAACTCAATTATTCACCCTAATGGAGTTCATGACTAAAAAAAAATATCCTATTTGGTTTAAATTGCAGTAATGTCTCCATCAAACATATTTCTAATGATGTTTGTTTAGCCTACTATTGAAATGAGTTTGTTTTTGTTGAATACGTGGCAACCTAAGTTAGCAGCAGGCTCTAAAGTGCAGGGCACTTTATTCTCTGAATATTTAGAAGTCTGAGCTTTAAACAACTGACAACTGAAGCCTCACCACCGTTAACACAATGTGTACTGATTTTGTTCATTTACCTAAGGAGGCCAAAACATTGTAAGGAAAAGTATCAATTAGCCGCCTATACACAGGGACTAGGGAAATGATATGCATGTATCCAGTGGCGAGTGTATAGCAAGAGGGAATGGTACAGTTTAACTAGACAGTGTATGTTGTGCCTAATGCACTCACAAATTCAAATATTTGAAAATACTGTTGGCTAAAGAAGACCCTTCTGCAGGTGTTTTCTGCCATGTGACCAACAGTTTATGAACCCTTAGGAAAAAGCATAATATATGTACTTAAAAATTTTTAGATGACTGAAAAATCTGATTTTTAAACTACCCAGATACTCATTATCATATAATTTATTTACCTGAAAACCATTAGTGGATGTTCAGTGATTCATTTTAAAAAAATGATACTCAAATTCATAAGAATGCATCTATTTTAAAAAGGAAATACTTGTACCTTACCTCCTCTGTTAACAATGTGAGGGTGGTGGGAGGAAGGCTATGCTATTCTGTAACCTTTGTATTCAGCATGGAGATACCAAGATATTTTGATGAGGAAGCCTTTTTCCTCAATGTTTTGTTGGGCAGTATAAGCTCCTAGGAACATACTCCTCTTACTTCAAGTGTGTAAAGTTAAATCAAAATACGTTCAAGAGTCCCTGTCCTTAAAATTTCATAAACTTCCACTAAAAATATATATTTTTTAACAAATGGTTTTCAAGGAAGAAGCAAAAGTACTTTGGGGGCTAGTTTATGTACATTGCAAAGAGCAAAATCAACTATACTACTTGTCCTTAATGAGTCATTTCCAGTAAATTCCCTGACTGTAAATAAAGGGCTGTTCAAAATAAGGTCAAAAGTATTTTTGTAGCCATGGTAACTGTTCTAGACACCTGAGGATGTGTCCATGGATATCAGACTGTTTAACAGAATGAACCCGAAAAGGGTACTGTCATTTAGCCTGAGTAATGCCTTTTAGTAATGCCAGCATGTAGATACACATCATCAAAAATAGAGTCAGTAATGTCAAGGGGAAGGTCCATGGAGATAATGGATTCCATAAGTACTTTTGCAATTGGTACCACTTAAAACAAGAGAAGTACCCTTGAAATATTTAAGTAGCTAACCCCCAGCAAAGTGATGTATGTTAATAAAGCTGTGCCCAGCATACAGCAGTCAGAGTAAAAGGAGGAGGAAAAAAGAAGCCAGTGAAAGCTAAGCCTGCTAGAGCTAAAGCAAATACACGGTTAATCTGCACATAAAGCTTAGGTACAAAGAACTAGATACCAATCTAGTAGAGGAAAATTAAGTCTAGCTAGCTCTTGCTATGGATCAGGTCAAATGATTAACTGCACCAAAGTAGTACGCTCTTAGAATCACTTTCTTCTGGTATCATTTCACTGCAGCATTGAAGAGCAGTGACATGTACCAAGGGAGTGAAGGGAAAGAGGCAGTTAGAAGTATTCAGGTGACTGTCTACAGTTTCTTAGGGAAATGTATGTGAGACAAATAATAGAATTGGTTGATATTGACCTGCCTCACAACCTTTTAGGGACTGGTACCATCAGAAGGCAGTCTGGCTCAGCAACATTAAGTATGTGCTAAGTAGTTGGCAGGAATGTTTTTGTTCCCACCTTCAAAGTGAGCTATGTGTATATGTATCAAATGCTACATGACTATGTTGTTGTTGTTGTTGTTTGCCATTGAGTCGGCCCCGACTCATAGCGATCCCTCCTTGGGTTTCCGAGGCAGTATCACTACAGAAGTAGGAATGCCCAACCTTCCTTCCGAGGAGTGGCTGGTGGGTTTGAACCGCCAGCCTTCTAGTTAGCAGTCAAGTGCCTTAGCCACTATGCTACCAGAGCTCCTACATGACTATAGGAAAGTAAATCATTGAGCAAAAAATAACAGAAAGATCCTTTTATTTTTAAAAAAATACCTTAAGCATTAAAGAATTTCATGAGTAGAACTAAGATGTTAGTAGTAGTTCAAATACTTTTAACCATCTTTAAAATGTATTAAACTTTCAAAAAACAATCACCAACTAAACACATATACACATATATCTCTGAGTGCATGTAAAACTATGAAAGTCAAATGTCTTGGCTGTGATATTATAACATAGTAATTGAAGATGTGTCAAAGGAGGGTGGAACTGGGTGAAGGGTATAGAGGGTCTTTGTTGTTTCTTATATCTGCACATGAATCTATAATTATCTCAAAATCAAAAAAATTAAAATCTTTACAAAGCAATTAACATGCTTGTTTTAAAAAATTAAACCTAAATCAATTGAAAGTCATGTACCTATGATAAATTATATGTAGCCTCTTCAAATAGGTTGGACACTGGTCAAGAGGATCCATTAAGGCTAATCTCAATTTTGAAACAACTTTGAAATTACTGACCAGAGAATCTTGGTAAAAGCACACATTTAAAAATAAAAAACAATATTACACTCAAATTGGCCATTCAAGACCACCTTAGACTAGTGAGGCTGACAGGCAATCAGTGAGGTTGTAGAAACCAGACAGTTGTGTGCAAAGGATTTTTGTATCCATTCAACATGCAACAAACACTTATTAAGCACCTGCTGAACAGTTCCTGCCCTTGGGAGTAGAACTCTGTGTCGATGATCTGTAGGGTCTCCGACTCTATCAGCAACTGGCTGAGTTTATACGACAGCTCAGTGTCTTGATGAGGAGCTGAAATTAGCAATATCACTGCCCAAACCTCAAAAATCCTTAACATCAGTGCTATGGTGTGCCTTTTTAAAAGTATCCGCCTTCCCCAGATTTAAAAAATAAATTTTAAAAAAGAAAACGAAAAAGATGCCGCTTAGTTAAGCAGACAATAGCCAGAACAAGCTGCCACATACTGGATTCCCCTCAAGCCCTAACCCGGAGAGGCAGGTCCCTAAGTGGGAGGCACCTCCAGCATGACTGGGAACACTCCCCAGTTGATCAGGCTCCTGAAAGGTAAGTAAAGAAACTCTCTCTTACCATCCTCAAAGGGGGTCCCTTCGGGCCTGCAACACAGAGAAAAACAGTCAGTTCCCACTTAAGGGGTCCCCTGGTCTCGGGCACATTGTAGGAGATGACTATTCCAAGCTCTGCCATCTCCACCCCTGGGAAACCATCGCTTCCTGGGTCGGAAAGCCACGCCAAATGAATGTCTCAAGCTCAGAAACATAGTGCAGGCCGCCAAGCCTAACTGCCACTACTCCCCGCTCCGCCCCCCTTAGAACCCCGAACGGTTCCCCTGGCAGCGGGAACGAACTAATCGAGGTACAGGCTCCGGGGAGGCGCCTAGGCCTGGTCAACCCCAAACATTTCCCCTTCTCCACTCCGCCTTCGCAAGGTGCCTGGACTGGAGGGCAGATGGAAGCAGCTCCCCTTCCCCAGCCCTCTCCACCGCCGGGAACGCAGACTCACCCGAAAATGACCGCGTTCCAAACCATAATGTTGTTCTCCGATGGGGCCCCGCTAACTCCAGCTGGAGGATCCTCCTGTAACCTTCAGAAAAGCAACCAGGGGCCCCTCAATCCCGCACTCGCGGCCGGCTGCCCCCACCCTACCTCGGGACCCGCCCTGCGCCCCGGCTGGCAGCCCCCGGCCTGGGCTCGCCCTCCCGTTTTACCTCTTGAAGTCCCGCATGAGGCGCCGCCGAGCCGGGGTGGACATATCTCGAGTGGGGTCAGGGATGGGGCATACACCGGAGTATCTGCTTCCCGCGGAGGCTAAGGAGGCCGAGGAAGCTGGGGGAGCCGAAGCCGGCGAGGAGGAAGCACCCAGAGGAATGGCACTACCTCTACGAAGTCGAGGGTCAGTCTGCCGCCGACTAAGCACCACCCCTGAGTAGACGGGGGCTGAACCAACCTGAAAGGAACGAGAGGGGGGACTAGAACGGTGAGCGCTGGACAGGCCGTACCAAGACGGGGCGTGGGGGTGCTCTCAGCCAAAGTTGCTTATGTCATGAAACCCAAGCAGGAGGAAGGGAGTGCCGGTACCGTCCCAGGGTGAGAAGCAAGCTGCGGGGCAAACAAAAGCCCCTCATTCACTAGGGTTTATTGGTAGAATGGGTTCCAGCTCCACCCGCCGATGCTAAAACGAACCCCTGGAAGGTTTTTCACCCCCCTCCCCTATCTCTTTTTCTTAAAGACCAGCTCATGTATTAAAGTGCGCACTCTACCTGGACGGGTAGGGGAGAAGATTGGAAGCCCCAAACTAGAGGAGGAAGGAGTAGGCGGAGGCAAAACCGGTTTCCAAGAAGCGGGAACTCTAGGGTGCACACCCACTGTGCACCCAGGAGACTAATGTGTGTTTGTGTGGGAGGGGGAAATTGGGGCTGGTTGAAAATCAAAGGACTGAATAGGGCTTTAACCATAAAATGTGGCTGTGGGCTAAGATTCCGGTCCCAAAATTTAGGCCAAAGCAGAATAAAATGGTGTCGTGTGTCCTACGGGAGGGAATGAAAAGCTTAAGGTGAGCAAAATGAAGTTTTAGCTCTGGTCACTCACGATTTGGCTCTGGAACCACATTTTCCCGTGGCAGAGTTCAACAAGCCAGGTGGCTACTATGTGTTCAGGAGAATCCAAGAGAAGGTCCGATTGCAGAGAATTGGAAGAGCAATAGGTCGCAAGGAAAAGTAACCGGAAAATGCAGGTGGAAAAGCTGCAGGTTGCAGGGAAGAGCCCCAATTAGTACGGAGACCTGCAAAAGCAAGGGAAGTTTTAAAGAATGTATTTTAAAGGTCAACCCCAAATAACTTAGAAGGTAGGCAAAATACATATTGAAGAAATATTGAAGATACGAGAAAGGTAGGTTGAAGTCATGGAGAGTTTTGAGTGCCAAGCTAATGGATTCCTTGGAAGATAATTGAGGAGGGCAGTGACATGGTTTCAGCTGTCCTTTGACAGCTTAATCAGAGACTGATCCCAGGAGAGCAGCTCGGAGACTCTTGCACCTTCTAGTTAGCAGTCAAGTGCCTTAGCCACTA